AAAAAAATAGCACAAGTTTTATCTAATGAGTTATCCCTCTGGCTGCCATTTCTTAAAAAACTAAAACAGTAATGACAAATACTGGCAAAAAAAAAGGAACTCTTGAATTGTGAGCAGAGAGTTTGGAATTGCTTTTATTTCTGTTTACAGTAGTCACTCATTTCTGTTTCCTTACCATTTTATGAAATGCTAAAATCTATAAGCCTGAGAAATGAGAATCATCATTATGTTAATTAAAATTACTTTCTGATACTTATGCAGAATCATGCTCAGTTTAAATATTCAACACTTACAGGGAACCAGATCAATTATAAGCTAATCTGAAGTTATTTATTCAGCTTCACAAAACTGCAAAAACAATAAATAATACAAACCCAGGAATAATTAAATTCTTCCAGGTASTACTCTTCAGTATGATGTAGATCCAGGAAATGTGGGAAATCCAGAGGAATCGACTGACTAACCCAAATAATGAATCTCTGACACAGSAACACACACACAGATRTCCCYTAAAAAGCTTTGACCTAATGGATAAGAGAAACCTAGGCAACATAATTTGATGGAAGAGTMTATTAATTACTTTAATTGTTATATGATTGTGMTTGCCATTTCTCCCCTCTTTTGCTCACAGAATTTCCTGTAATCTCTTTGGTTGGGAGATAAGGAAGTACTACTTCCAACAGTAACAGCAWCATTACACCCTTGTTTTGTAAAGATACTTTGGAGAAGCTTCTCTAAATTAAAACCATGGCCAAAACAACTCTCCAGGACCTTAACTGTCCTTCTGCAACATCATAGCACCTCACAATGATCTATCTGCAATAATTTGCACTATTTTCTGAATTATTTTCTTATTATTTATAGGACACCAACAAAACATTGCTAATCAAACCCCTTAAAATGTAAACCACTTAGGTTTTTCTGAAGAATAATGAAACTRTGGTCTCCCTGTCTCTCAGCTGTGTTTGAATGTTTTTGTTGTAGAAAAGCAGAGGATTTATGCACCTCAATTTGCMTCAGAAAATGTATCAGACAGTCACTGCAGTAAAAAAAAAACCACACACACATGCATGCAATGAGCTA